AAAAAAAATTACTGAACGGTGGTGTATTTTATTTTAATGAAATTATTTGGAGGGCTATATTTAGAGCATTTTATTATGATCAAAACCTGTGTTGAAGCATGCTTCCTATTGTCTAGGGACAGCAGAAGAAAACAAATACGAGAAATTGGAATGTAATTACTTCATAGCTTAGATGTAAAAATACTATGTGATTGGTATTATTGATATACAGTACTAGATGTCACAAAAGCTGAATGTCAAATTACCTGTCGTTTCCTTATCATCTGTTCACTCTTCCAGCAGGTAAGGAGCTGCCAGGTGGCTGTGCACTGATTAAGCCGGTTCTCTTTTAAAGCCTGAAACCAAGATGTGCGGAATCAAATTACAGAAGCAGATAGATTATACACGCTGATAGTAAAGTGGAAAAATACCTGCTTGGTTAAATTTCCTTTAAGTTACTACTTTAAACGCATGTCTCACCTCAGCTATGGTGCTTGAGATGTGTTGGTCCATTTTCAAGGAAACTTTCAGATAGGACAGAAGCAGATCTTGTGGGTGTCCACCAGTTTTACCAAGGAAACGAAGCCCAATCTCCACGGCATAAACTGCGTCACACACATCGGTGAATGAACGTAGCATTGATCTCATGGAACTGAGCACAGAGGCCTTGAGAGGTTCCTGTAAATCAAATAGGAAAAATGAGGCTTCCTTAAGAAGAAAATGAGCAGTCTATTGAACAAATACATATTTATAATTATATTACATTAATATAATTATATATTATTATATTTCTACAGTATGTCACCATTAACCCAGAGGCATTTGCTCAGCTGAGGCCTACTGTTTTTAGTAAACTGAACGAAGCACAGCGACTGAAGAAAAAATTACCTGAGGTATTTTGGCTCTGACCTCATTGAGGACTTCTATAAAATTCTGATGTTGTCTTCTCAGGTATTTATCAGTGTCCTGCATGAAATTCTCAGTCTTTAGCAACCAATGAATCTGGTCATATATTTAACATTAGTATGAAAACAAGTTTTAAAATGTGTAGACTCACTGTTTGAATGCGTGGTTTGCCTGCAAAAAATCGTCTGCTGAGTTCTCTCTCAATAGACTCATGATCATAGGAGCTCACTGTTTGCTGACCCTTCTCTAGTGTGTAATGGCAGTTAGCTAACACCAAAGGGAGCAACTCCTTTTCTGGGTGACACAGGGCAAGTTGGCTCTCAGACAGCGCTGTCAGTGGCACTTTATAGTCACTGTAAGAGGAAATGCAATTGGCATGCATTAATAAGAAGCACAAAAATTAGAATGATTTCTGAAGTATCATGTGACACTGAAGACTGGAGT